GGGGGGGGTCCCCCAGCGGTGCATTAACCCCTTTTCTCCCGCAGTGCCTGGTGCTGGAGGCAAAGGGGTGACCCGGCTCAGCGCCTCCCCATGGGCCAATCCCAGCAGCTCCCCGCGGGAGCCCCGGGGACCCTCGGGAACCCCTCCCCAAAGCACTCTGCCTTGTTGCCCCCGCCCGGGGCCCCCGCTGCCCCAATCGCTGCGCCCGGGGCCCCTGCTCCCCCAGTCCCCCCACCCCTGCCTGGGTCACCTGCTCCCCAGGTCCCCCTGCCCGGGGCCCCTGCTCCCCCAGTCCCCCCACCCCTGCCTGTGGCCCCTGCCCCCCCAGTCCCTGCACCCAGGGCCCCTGCTCCCTCAGTCCCTCCCCCCCTGCCCGTGGCCCCTGCCCCCCCAGTCCTCCCACCCCCAGGGGACGCGCTGGTGCCCGCCCCACGCCGCAGCAAGCTGCGCACCTTCCACTGGACGGTGATCCCGGCGGAGCGGGTCCGTGGGCGCCCCAGCGTGTGGACGGCCAGCAGCCGGCATGACCGCACCCCCCTGGACGTGGAGCACCTGGAGGAGCTCTTTGGGGAGCAGCCGGGCTGGGGCCCACGGGGGCCCTTGTTGCTGGGCCGGCCCCAAGGCCAGGTGAGCCCGGGTCGGGGCTGGCCCCGTGGGGAGTCTGGGGTCCCTCCCAGTGGGATGTCTCCCCGGGGTCCCTGCTGCATCCTCCACCCAGGACAGGCCCTTGGTGGGCTGGCCCCTGCTTCTGTCCTGCGGGCCCCTCGGGTGCTGCCCCTCATGGGGGGCGAGCCTGGGGGGGTTGCATGCTGCACCCTGTCTGGGGCTGACCCCCATCTCTCCTGTGGGCCCAAGCTGCTGGAGGGGCTGGGCCGGCTCTGTAGGACTGGACTCCGGAGCCTGCTCTGCTGTGCCAGGCTGAACTGCCCCCAGCCCCGGGGGCTGCGTGTCCCAGAGCTGGGGCAGACGCTGCTTTTGTGCCTGCAGGTCTCTGCCCCCCTTCCCCCTCCCCCCTCTCTTCTCCCCATGCTCACCCTGCCCCCTTCCCCCCATGTTCCCCCTCACCCCTCTCCCCAGGTCTCTCTCCTGGACTCAAAGAAGATCCTGAATCTGGAGATATTTTTGAAGCAGTTTAAGAGGTAAGAGCAGGCAGGGGTGGGGTGGAGCTGCCTGGCACCACAGTGACCCGTTTCAGGCCAGCGGAGGGGAGCAGGGTCAGGGTTGGGGAGCAGCTGGCAGTGGGAGGGGAGCCCCAAGCTGCACCATAGACCCCCACATGTGGGGGGTGGGGATGGCGAGGCTCCTGGGGGCAGGGATTGAGGCATGGGGGTCTGGGGCTGGTCTCCGGGCTGAGCTGACATCTCTTCCGCCCCCCCAGGCCTGTGCAGCAGATCGTGGCCGATCTCCGGGCGGGCGCCGGTGCCCTGTACGGGGCTGAGAAGCTGCTGGAGCTGTGCAAGATGCTGCCCGACGCGGACGAGGTGAGGGGGCAGGAGGGCACAGCCAGCCCAGCCCCTGCGGGGGCTCCCCGGCTAACGCTCCCCGGCTCTGTCCCAGCAGGTCAAAAAACTGAGGGCGTTCCAGGGCCCCTGGCGCCAGCTCTCGGACGCCGAGACCTTCTCGCTGCTGCTTGTGGGGGTTCCCAGGTGAGAGCTCTGGGCACCCAGCGGGGGTGCTGGGGGGGTTTCCCAGCGGGGGGGGGGGGGGGGCCGGCGCGGGGGCGGGGGGGGGGGCCCGGGCGGGGGGGGGGGGGGGGGGGGGCTGAGTACTGATGGGGATTCTGTGGGGCAGGGTTGGGGTGATGGCTGCTACCTCCACGTTCCTCGCGTAGGCTGCAGGCTGACTTCTCCCCCCAGGGCACCTCAGTCCCAGCTCCCCCGGGTCCTCTGCCCTCCCCTGGCCCCAGAGCTTTCTGGGTAGAGGTGGGCACGACCCACGGCCAGGGCTGAAACCAGGCCTGTTCTGGCTACAGACGTAGCAAATGTGTGATTTGTTGGAGGGGTGTAAGTGATCCAGGATGGGCCGGGCTCTGCGTCCCCAGGGCCCGGCTCGGCCGGGGAAGGACTGGGCTTTTGTAATGAAGTGGGAATGGTTTTAATGTTTTGTCTGAACACTGTGTGCCTCAGTTTCCCCATGTGTTACTCAAGTACCGAGGCGGTGGGACCAGGGGGTGTGATTGTCGCAGAGACCCCAGAGGGCAGGTGGGACTGCTGACGGGCTGCAGAGAACGGCCGACACTTGTAGCCTGGCAGCTACTGGCCGGGCCCCCTCCTCTGCAAGGGGCGGGGGGGGGGGGGGGTTGGTGCAGCCCAGGTGACCGGCTGGACCCAGAAAGGGACAAAGGACGGAGGAGGGCAACGGGTGTGATGGAGGCCGAGCAGCTGGAAGCGAGTCAGTCTCCTGGTTGGGGACTTGATAATAACCCGTCTGTATCACACACGGGCGGGGAGTCACGGCTGGCTGCGGCGTGGGGGGCAGGGCCCTTTGGGGGTGAGACTCCCTGTGATGAAGTGGGAATGTTCTTAATGTGGTCTTTGAAGATTTAATAAGTTCTTAAAATGCTGAGTGGGGAGTGTTGGCCGGGGAAGGTTGCAGGGGAGTTTGGCTGGGACGGTCTGCATTGGGGATGGGAGACTGGCCTTGAGGGAAGATACCTGAGCATGTAACGTGAGAACCCAGGAGGGGGTTGGGGCCAGGTGACATCTCTGCCCGGGAAACTGGACAAAGGCTGGGGGAGGAGCGTGGCGGGGCGGGGGTGGCTGAGTGAGACGCTGGAGGGAGTTTCAGTTTGGAGTTGGCTGGGAAAATGGAGGGGAGCCCAGACGGGGCTCTGGCCTCCCTGGCCACTCAAGATGGACCTAACTGGGGGGGGTCCTGTTGTCTGTACCTGCAAGACCTGTCTTGGACTGTGTTCCTGTCGTCTAAATAAACCTGCTGCTTTACTGGCTGGCTGAGAGTCATGGTGAATCACAGGAAGCCGGGGGTGCAGGGCCCTGAGTCCCCCCACACTCCGTGACACTCCCCCAGGGGTCCCGCCCAGGGAGACTCGCTGCGGGGAGCTCCTGGGGTGACCAGGGGGCTGAACGCTCCGAGGTCAGGAGGTGCCGAAGCGGAGCAGGGTCCTTGCCCTGGGACAGGTGCCCTGAGGGGAGATGCTGCCCCAGAGCCTTGCCTGGCGTCACTCCGAGCGGGGCCAGAGCCCCCAGCCTGGGCACCTGGGACAGCTCTGCGTTCTGGGGCCTGGCTGGGACGGGGACGGGGTGGGCTCTGTGTTCTGGGGCCTGGCTCGGCCGGGGATGGGGACGGGGTGGGCTCTGCGTTCTGGGGGCCTGGCTCGGACGGGGATGGGGTAGGTCTCGG